AATTTAGACTAATACTCGATCATCATATCTAAATTTGGCAGTAAGGAAAATAATTTTTTAACCAAAATCACGTGAAATCCTTTTTTAAAAAAATTTTATTGCATTTTTGAACGAATCACGAAATCGCTATTTTTGAAATTTGTCCATGTGGCGCAGCAATAGGAGGTCTTTAGACCGAGCCAACCATATATAATTCAGATTCTGGAAATCTATTTTTAATGGCATTAATTATTGAAATTGAATATACTGCAACAAATGATGGAATAGAATTATGGTTGTTGTCATCTAAATATTTTTTGAATACTGTACCATAATTTGGTGGAATTTCTTCAGAACCTATAAAGTCTGTTTCAATTGTTTCAATTGTAGCATCAAGTTGTGATTTAAAATGAGATATAGATAAATGTTCTAATTGGAATGTATTGATCAATTTCTTTAAAATATTTGTTAAATCAGCAAGGTACATTGTTGCTAAAATAAAAGTATAGCCTAATTGTCTACTTAGAACATCTGCATGCTCATCTCCTCCTTCTATATTATCATTTAGAGTAGATAGTACAGAGTTCATGAATTACTCACAGAATTTGAAAATGATAACCACCTAGTATCACACATATTACAAGTGATGGTTCATCATTTATTTCCTAGTTAATTACATAAAATTATTAAAAGAAAATAAGAAGATATAATTTTAAAAAAATTAAAATGATAATTACCTGCATCAACTTTAACATTTTTTGTCTTTTACCAGATTTAGAAAAATAACTATATAAATTTTTTAAAGTTTTTTCATATTTTTTAAAATATATAACCTCTTTTGAAGCATCTTTTCCAGCTAGATGAAGCCTATGTGATATGCAATGATTTGAAGACATGAATGGATTGATTTCTTTAAATCTTGCTGTAACACCACTTATATATCCTATAAATTGAAATATTTATTAGTTAAAATCAAATAAATCACTTACTTAATATTAATTTCATACCAGTCATATTAGAAGCACCATCACTCCCAAAATGAATTATATTATGATAAGATATTTCATTTGAATTGCAAAATGATATAATTTGATTAAAAATATTTTCACCATCAGTTGAATCTGGATTAACCATACCTAAACATCTCATAAATGGTATATTATTGGTGATATATTTTCCTACTATTGCTAAATATTTATCATTGACACTATTAGTTTCATCAATCATTATACTCCAATAAGTTGAGGAATTTAATTCTGCAAAAAGTGATTTTTTTATTACATAAGCTATATTATCTAATTGCTATGACCCCCATATTTTGATTTAGGTGGTGTTAGTTTTTCTAAAGAAGCAGCTTTTAATGAGAAATTTTATCACTGATTATTAATTCTTTATTATTTTCAATTCGTAAAGCATAAATCAGGATAATTATTGATTGAAATACTGTGGTTTGCGCAAAAATAAATATTTTTCATTAATGAATAATTTGTAATTTTTCTTTATTTAATAGTTCTCTGTATTGTATAGATACATTGTAGGGTGTCTCTGATGCATCCATTTGATCCTCACTATTCCATTCACTATCATTTGAGTTAAGAAGTTGTGACTGATTCTTTATGTTTGTTGATATTTAAGTGTCATTTAATTCCAGTCAGTACAACTTTCAATTCACACTATTTTTTTTGCTCTGTACATTTTTTACTTTTATTTTTTAATTTTGTACAGAATGGAATTTGTGAATTCTGAAAAGTTGATTGGCGGGGGCCAGTCTGTATGATCTTTGATTCCGTATTTTTGTTCCATACAGAGCATTATTTACTACAGAGGCACAGATGTATGGGATACAGAACCTCTATAGACTTGTTTAATTACAAAAAAAGTTGCACGAATTTTCTGCACAAAGCCTTGTCGATTTTTTATTGGTCAATATTTGTACAATGTGACACCCTGCACTGAATTTTCAATGCTTGCACATAGTGGGCGTTATGGAGTAATAGAAATTTTTTTGCTTACTTGCTGTGAACTATGCGTGACACATCATTAGATCCATTAATGGTATCAATTATATGTAGAGCATTACTATTACAATTATTTTTTTCCCTATCAGAAGAGTGTTGTATTTACAGTGCATTTACTTAATTTTTATAGCATCATGGCACTTTAATAGGGCTACGAAATCCTCTTCTTAGCTACAATTGAAAAGCCTCATTTAATATTTTGTCCATCCATGCTTGCAGGCTGGCCTATGGTGAATTTATCGATAAGCTTATGAATTCAGAGAAATTGGGTTCAAGAATCATGTAAAATGCAGGTTACTTGAATACAGCTGATAAATTCCAGCTGGTGTATGTAGAAGGGTCATGGCCAACAACAAAGAGATCATGAGCTCCATGAAGATTTTGAATAATCAAAAAATATTGTTAAAGATAATGCCAAATAAAGAAGATGATTACCTAAAGTACTTGCTATTTTTGGTGGACAAAGTTTCTGCTTTCAAATTCATTTACAATTCTTGGATTATTGTGGCATGTAATTTATGTTGTATTGTAATTTTTATTCATCTTATGACCAATGAATGGTAATGCTGATTTTAGGAGGAAAGTTTCAGTTCAATGAAGCAGATAATGCTAATCTTCCAAAATACTTCACAAAGATGTAGGATTTTCCATTGTTATATGAATGCATGATAAAGTGGGCTGGATGTATTCAATACTAGAATTGTTATTTATAGTTGGCTTGGTCTAAAGACCACCTAAATTTTGTACAAATTTTAAAAGTATAACAATAAAAGACATTTTCTGTCCTACCTTTTAAAAAATGGCTCTATTAGTTGATAGAATAGGTCTTTAGTTTTGATCCAATAGAGGTTTTCTCAAAATTTATTCCTTGTAAGTTCTATGAGGAATTTGAGCGCTAGGATCATTGCTAAATTTAGACTAATTTTCGACCATCATCGCTAAATTTAGACTAGTGCTCAACCATCATATCTAAATTTGGCATCAAGGAAAATATTTTTTTAAACCGAAATCACGTGTAGGCCATTTTTGACTAATCACAAAATCGCAGTTATTGAAATTCGAGTTCGTGGCGCAATAATAGGGTTTTAGACCAAGCCAACCATACAACAAACGGCTTATATAATCAAATAACTCATGAATTTTGTTGCTAGCTTGAGAAGTCATGGAAGGATTCGAAGAATCAAGGATACAAAAGAGGCACTCAAGGTTAATGGCCTGAGTTTGATGGATGTTCTATAGCTGAGGAAGCAAAAGATTTTTTCCTTGTTTTAAACCATATGAGGAGGTCCCACTATTAGCTTTTTTAAATCATTAATTATTCATATTTTTCATTGTTGGTTTTTCCTCTAGAGATTTTGACTAATCCATTATCTCTGACATGTGCAGTTATCAAAGACAAAAAAGCCTCTATAGTTAGCTTCTGAATTACTACTTTACTTGATGGGACATTTTGTATATTTTTTTCCTTTCTCTTTATTTTAAAATTAAATATAATAATAAATAAATAATAATAAATATAATTATAATAATAATAAAATGGCGAAATTAATTAAATTAATAACAAGTTTGATTTAATTAGATTTCAGGTAACATGGTTAAAACATCAAGATCATTTAATGAACTATCGTTACTTGTTAAATTTAACTTGGCAATTTCATCATTTAATATTCTACTTGTATGATATGCAAGTAAATGTGATTTGTGAATTTGTTGTGACTTACTATTACTATTACTACTACTACTACTATTATTATTACCACCACCATCATCACCAATATCACTGCTATTTTCATTAAAACTTGGAGTTTGATAAATTTCTTCAAATTTATCATTTGCAAATGTATTAAGCTCTTCAGTAGTTGGTCTCTTGGCAGGATCCGCATCCCAACACCTTCTCATCATTTGTGCATAATCATCAGGCATTCCTGGCAATGCTGGTGGTCGTAAACCTTGACATATATCAAAAACCAAACGATGATTGTGAGCTCTATCATCAAATGGTGGGCGGTCTGCGAATATTTCCCACATTAACATTCCAACACTATAAATGTCTGATTCTTTTGTGCTCTTATTTCCTCTAAATAGCTCTGGTGCAATATATGACACAATTCCATAAATTTTGTTTGATGATTTATCAACTGGTCCACATAATCCTAAATCTGTGATGTAACAATCACCTCCATCTAATAATATATTGCCACTGTGCAGATCACAATGAATTAAATCTTCATCATGTATAAGATATAATGCTTCACATAAATATGCAAAAATATTAATTCTATTTTTTAAGCTCAAATGATTTTTTTGTAAATAATCTCTTAAATTTCCATCTGGAAAATAATTAAGAACCATTGCATAATTTCCATTATCTGGGAATTTAGTTATACCATAACAAGGAACAATTAGATTTGATCTGACTTTACAATAATTCAATGCCTGAAATAATATAAAAAATCAATTAATTTAAAATAAATATTTTAATTTAATTAATTTGCATAAGATCAATTACCTCATTAAAAAAAGATTCTCCTGGATTAATTGAATCATTTAATAATTTTAATGCTACTTTCTGAGTTCCAAAATAAATAAACTCCTTTTTATTTTCATCATAATCATGAATAACTCCTCTTGTCCACCTAGCAACATAAACAGAGCTGAATCCGCCTTCTGTCAACTTGTTTATATCATACAATTGCTCATAAGGTATCCATTCTATAATTTTACTTGGAAGAGATGAAAGCTTTTGACATTCTTGAATAAATTTATCAACTGTCTCATTTCCAGATGTCCAAGTACTGAAAAGACTCTGTAAGTGTAGACTAATACACTTTTCACAAAATCTGTCAGAGTATTTTGTTGTTTTACACTTGTTACATTTCCTTGGTTCACCCTTTTGATAAATAGCATTATCCAATTCATAAACAAAAATAAACCTTTCTGTACAAAATTTTTTTTCATCTTCTAAAAGTTCTTTGCTTTCTTTGACTAGTTGTAAAAAATAATTTTTTTACTCTCAGGACTGTTTGAAAAAGCAGTAATTGCAATATTATTTATTTCACTATAAATTTTAATTACTAACTCTGTTCTGTCTGATGTTACTAAGTGTTCAAATGACATTTTAACTTTTAATAATAGTATTTGTGATTAAAAAAAAATATTTTGTGAATAACGGACGGGATCCATACTATTTAACTATATAATACTAATTTTAATTATTTGTTACACGAATTATGTATTCCTTATCATTGCCAAGCAAGAACTTTTAAAAATCCGGATTTTCCTTTACATTTAATAATTTTAACTTCCGGAAAAAAAGAGTCGCCAGATATTTTTTTCATAAAACTTTTAATTACCAATTTGTGAATGAATAGAGAGACCCTCAGGTCTGTGTTTCCTACATAGAAAATTATTTTTTGAGATTAACTTATTCAAAAAGTAATATCATCCTGTGGCACAAAAGAATAATACAATTGGCGTATCACCAATTAAAGTAAATTCTTCTTCCAGGAAATTTTAGCATTCAGGAGAAATTTCCATTTTTTTTTCAGATCCTATTACTATATAGAGAAAAAATGTCTGGAATTCATACAGCGTTCGGTATTGTTGTTGATTTGATTTAAACGGTATCCGTGAATATAGTGAATACCATAGCATCCGGAATTCATTCATATGCTCGGTATTCATATTCACAGGCACCATGAATACCGTGAATACCATAGTAAATCTTTACTAATGTAACTCCAAAGTAAAATTTTTTTATTGACTCGTATTGAATTAATATATTAATATATTATGATTTCTTTGGTATTTACTATCACATATGCTACCATTAAGCGTGTATATACTAATAAGAAACATGAGAATTGCTTCCCCAGTAGCAATATTATTACTATAGTGTAATAAACATTTCGTTATATAGAGGTTTAGTGTAGTTTTCAGGGTCCTACACATGTGGTTAATATTAATGATTTAGTACTAAAATCAGATGATCATTTTGGATCTATTTATTAACGAGAATTTATGATGCGTATGTTTGTAAGGATTTACCAAAAATTATGAAGTTAATTTATTTGTTTAAACAATGAATGTAGTTAGAAAGTCCAAGAAAATTCGAGAACCTTAAATAGTAAATAGGGATCAAGATTTAAACTCTAACAGTACAAATTAATAAATATAATAATCAATTAGTATTAAATTTTTTTAAAAAATAATCAAGAAATAATAATTACCTAATGAATTTTTCTTTTTAATGGTATATGGATTTGAACTTCCCTCTAATTAAAACATAAATTGGAATCTTTTCTTTTTAAAATTAAGATAGTCAACACCAGTAAAAATGACATGATATACAAACTAACAGCATTAGTTAATTCATCAACCAAACATTTTTGAAAGCTGATCTACATGCCTATTATTACCATATTATCATTATAATATATTTAGAAAAATATTCAAAATGATCATAATCGATAGTAAAATAAATGATTACAACTTACTCCAATAGATTGATTTACTATACGAAGAGGTTAGTGTTGGTTTCCAAAACTATAGAGTTTTGCAACTGTGCGAAAGTCAAAAGCTTTCTCCACAAGTCGAAACGACTAACACTAGAAGAAGTGAAACATCAACCGCTTGCCTTCTAACTGTTTCCACACTATCAATAAAAGTTGAATCGTCACATGGGCCAGTGTTAAGTATAAGCATTAACCAAAACTTGAATAGGGTTTTGATTAGTTGAAATATGAATAATTTCAAATGCGCGTTTTACAATTCTAACTGCCATTAATATTTTCCGTTATGCAATATTTCTACGCCCTTTTATTTTTTTTTGTAATTTTTCTTTTTGTTGGTATGTCCATGCATCATAAGTGAATTGGTCAAATGTTGAACAATAGAACACAAAATTTGATTTTCTATCCACATTATAGTGGTAACAGATTCTATTGGCTTTTATTATGATAATAAAAATAAAGGACTACTTTTTTTATAGGTGGTTGTTTGGTTAGATATTTACGAACCTTTTCAGACCACATTTTATGTTATTATAACAGAATTTTGAAAGATGACGAAAACAAAAATTTAAATATTTTTCAAAATAATTAAAAGTTTAATTATGAACTTAGTATATTTAGATCAGTAGAAAAGCGTATTTAGTAATTGTATTAATATTAAAGATTAATATTCTACTTATTATTATTAATTAAAATACATAAAATTTAAAATTTAAAAATTATGAGCACATAAAGCATAACTTAAGCATAACCATGAATGCATAAAGCATAATTTGAAAAAAAAAATCATAGCTTACAGTAAACCGTTATATATAACATGTGTAACTATTCAAAATTCGAAGTAAAACGTAATAAAGCATAATCATAATGATGAATTCCATTAATTAATTAAAAAATAGATATTACTAATATTTATTGTCATGGCTGCTGGCGGTATCATTATAATGGTAGTTGTCCAAGTAGTCAATATTATTCTGATATGCTTGATAATAACTGTAAAATTGATGAATCGGTGTAAACTTGGTCGAAATAAGTTTTTCGCCTATTTTTTTTCATTGAAGAGTAGAAAAAAATAAATTTTCATAATTGTTTTTACAACAAAAATATCAATTTAAATTTTACCTTTATCAACGATACCGTCATTTGATTGAACAATAAAAATATCTTTAGAACAAATCCAATTTTTACGCAAACAATTTTTACAGCTACCATTTCCTTCTGAGCATTTCCTGTGTGTTTTTTTACAGTTATTGCATGCTCTTGAAACGTACGGGCCTCTGGTTTTTTTATTTTTATTTTTGTTGATCTTATTGGTGTCTGTAACGGCGTTGTTGATATTTTTTACCATTATTATTAAATAATTAAAATATGTTTATAATATCACCATTAAATGGTTTGAAAAAATATTTGCTTTCATCGAAAAGGAGAGAAAAGAATTGATCCCTTTTATATAGGAAGCAATTATATCATAACGCTATTGACAATACTATTATGCATGTACTATACCGCAGTTGTAAGTATAAAATAAATTGTGTGTCGCTTGATTCCTTCCTACAATTGCATCATGGTTTGTTTTCCGGATACTTCATTATACAAATGAAATTACCGTGATCACATGTATAGTGTATGCAATTCATCCATTTTATCAATATGTGTTTTTAGAAATTTGTTTAGATATTATTGGCGATTAAGATGGTTTTGAATTAAATTGCGGGAACAAGGAACTGATAAAAAATCTATATTAATATATAAATATTGATCGAAGTCGGGGTTGGCCATGAGCAACTTGGCTAATACTAATTAGGACTTAACCCCTTTGAGCTGATCGGAATGGATTACATCGCAACTACTATTGGTTTACCAAAACAAGCAAGAGTAAAGGATAATCATAATGGTCGCGGAACAAATAATCATGTAGTTTTCCACTATATCCACTTGCAGATCATCCACTAATATTTTTCCCATAATAAATAATTATTTTATTGTAATAAAAAGTACACCATAAAAAATAAATAAATAAATATAGTAAAATACAAATAAATTTTTATAAGTTATTTTCTTTTTTTTCAATCCATGAATTAATAGCATCAATTGTATTATTACATTTTGGTACATCTATACCAATATACATTTTTGATACCATTGATTGATTGAGGCCAATTTTGACTTCAGATTCCATACAAATTTCTTGAGCAATTTGTTTTTGACTTATTGCTACAACTCTTCTATGACAATCCACTACAGATTTGAATCTTTCAAGAAGAACTTTTTCTGCTTTTGTGAGTTGTTTCTTTTTTCTTTTTCTCACTGTTCACTTGGATCACCATTTGTAGATACTTCATTTCTTCTTCTATCATTAAAAATAGCAGTAAAATAAATAAGTAAATAAATAAAATAATATGCAATAATTTCTCAATTACCTTTTTTGTGTATTTAATAATTTCTCTGCAATTATGTTTTGAGTTGATTTAATTGATTCAACTCAA